ATGTTGTAACTGTTTCTTTAAATCATACTCTAAAATGTGATTGGTTGCTGTTTCCTCAATCGGCCATAAGAGGGAGCCAGAACGACTGTTAACTCTTTGATTTGTGAGATGCTGGGCTGATCTGATCTGAGTGTTTTGGAAGCTGGCTGTTAGAAAGTGCTGTGAGCTATTGTAAGTTTTGCAACTGCTAGCAAACTTTTGAGTACCGGACTGTTTGTATGATACTGGATTATGTTATTTGAATTATCCCTTAACTGAAAGACATTGATGACTGACTGTCTTATCCGTGTATGACTTGGACTGTTTGATGGACTCTGATACCTCTATTTCCACGAAAGTAAAAGCCTATTTAAACTGCAGTGTCTTTGTATGCTGGTTTGTGTGTTCTCCAACAACACTCTCACAACGCTTCGCTAAACCTACTCGCACTCCCAACGGGGATCTTACCTAACAATAATTATACAGACAGAAAAATCTACTTAGGAAGTCCCAGCCAAACTGGACGGCCAAAGTGGTAGTAGCTGCAGCGGGAGGGTCTGCCCACCCGCCCAAACGCTTCTGCTCATGCGCAGAAACTTCGTCTGCGCGCACGAGCAAACCGGTAGCATAAAAAATGGAAATCAAATGTAATGGAAACCTGCGCGAAAATATTCCTCTGGGCCAATTTTCCTGTAAATTAACTGGCAGGTGGCATTCAGTAAACCTACTGCCATATATATATATTTGTGTTCATAGAACGAAGAAGAATGAGAGTTTGGTTCAATTCCGCCTGCCCTATATGGAACAACATTGGAGAAAACACCTACTTTTGTCTGAATTTGTTGCGGCCCACCATCTGGCAGCAGATTCGGACAGTGAGGAGGTTGGGGAGGGACATGGACCAGTCCTGGAGTCTGGGGAAGGCTCTGACGAGGGCTCTGCATCAGAGATGGCGCCAGGGCCGTCTGACAATTATCAGCTGATAACTGATCACAGACATCAGTGAAGCAGATGAACAGCTGGAGCCTGTTCCCAGTGCGCGCACGCGCAGTTGCCAGACGAAAGGAACAGCTAAGGAGCAAGCGTCGACTTGGGAGTAAAGCCACCGGAGGGCGGTGAATGGCCCCTCCCATAGGGAATAAAAGAGGAGCAAAAGAGGAGGGGAGTTTGCAGGAGACAACGAGTTCAATCTTGCCAAGTATTGCGGGTGTCTGAAAGATATCGGCCTGGCCACTCTCAAGCCTGATAAAGGTTGGTGGTTGTGAACTATCTTGAAGGACTATGGGCTGGGACTTTGCTGGAGAGGAATTCACTGTAAATTAAATAAAAAGGGGTTTATCAGGACGAGGACTCATCTTCGTGCTGCTGGGGAAGCCTAGGCCAGAACAAAATTCAAGGTAATATTCCAGAAATCAGAGTATTTTAAAAAAAAAATCTGAATCAACCTTATGTTCAGGGCAGATGGCATTCTCTGCACAAGATGGGCAGGCAGCTTCAATACCATGAACACATACCACTATCTCCTCACTGCTGTTCTCCTCCTCTTCCTCCTCTTCTTTCCCTTGACTCAGGTCAATCATGTCTGAATCAGACTGCACCTTCCATTGAATAAAAAAATAACAGAAACCATGAGGACTTTCCTTTGTTTCCAGTTTTCCATCCCCGCAAATGAAAAAGCCATCGATTTCTGCTTAAAGACAGGCAGGCAAACATTTCACACCCCAAAGAAATCAATGAATTTCAGGAAAGGAAGAACTTGAGCGAGGCAAAGAAATTAAAACCCTGAACAGAGTTTGACCAGAACATCTTGATTTCAATAGCAATAGCACTTACGCTTTATATACTGCTTTCCAGCCCTCTCTAAGCAGTTTACAGAGTCAGCCTCTTGCCCCCAACAATCTGGGTCCTCATTTTACCCACCTCGGAAGGATGGAAAGCTGAGTCAACCTGGAGCCTGGTGAGATTCGAACTGCCAAATTGTAGGCAGCCAGCAGTCAGCAGAAATAGCCTGCAGTACTGCACTCTAACCACCGCACCACCACAGCTTCAAGAAGAGTTCTTTCAGACTTCCTTATTCAGCATCTACTCTACTAGCTTTTAGTAGGAATGGAACAGGGGAGGGAGGGAGGGAGAAAGGAAGATAGGTAGAAGAGAAAAGAAAGAAAGGAAAGGGGAAGGGGAAAGGGAGGGAGGGAGAAGAGAGAAGATAGGAAGAAAGGGAAAGGGAAGGAGGGAAGATGGTGAGAGAAGGAAAAAGGAAAGGGAGGGAGGGACAGAGGGAGTGGAAGAAAGAAGAAAGGCAAAAAGGAAGGGAAAGGGGAGGAATGAAGATAGAAAAGGAAGAAAGGAAATTGGAAAGGGAAAGGGAGGGAGGGGAAGAAGGAAAGGGAAGGGAAAGAGAGAAGGAAGAAAGGATAGGGGAAATGGAAGGGGAGGGAAGGAAATCTAAGAATATCATGTTTTATGAGAAAGGGAAGATGCAAATGTCATCCTTTAAGAAAATCTAATGCTAGAGTCTCAATGGAAGCTCCCTGGGGAGAATCATCTGGGCCGGCCCCTTCCTCTCAATCTCAGAGCCAGGGTGGGGCTGTAGAGACGGGGCGCATCATGGAGTGCACAAACCCAGGTCCTGGTTCTCTCTCTGTTCTGACCCCCCCCCTTCTCCGTCCAGGAACGAACCCCGAAACCAACATAAATGAGAGTGTTTTTTAATCAGTCCAGACTCTCGTTGGCTGCAAGGCATATAAACAAAGAGATAAGCACTCTGGCAGCAAGTCCTACAAAACTTGGCAGCAATGCAAACAAACTCTAGCAGCAATCCAGCCTGCCAAGTTTGTTTCT